CAAGGGTCCATCCGACCACTGATACCTGGTCTGCAAAGCAGTGGGTACTTTATAAATGGCTCCACCTGCCACCCGTACAGCAACACAGTCTCCAGTTATGAGGACCGACCAAGCATCTTCTTCCATCTCCCTGTTACAGAAATCACTGCCATGTACACGTCCACTGATAGGAGGCGCGGAAGGTATTAAACTGATAAAAATAGTACTAAACACACCACTCCTATCTGGTGTCACATTAGCTTGACCGCGCAGTGCCCCAAATTTGAAGTAAGAGGACCAACCAAGCATCTTCTTCCATCTCCCTGTTACAGAAATCACTACCGTGTACACGTCCACTGATAGGAGACGCGGAAGGTATTAAACTGATAAAAATAGTACTAAACACACCACTCCTATCCGGTGTCACATTAGCTTGACAGCGCAGTGCCCCAAATTTGCAGTAAGAGGACCGACCAAGCCTCTTCTTCCATCTCCCTGTTACAAAAATCAATGCCGTGTACACGTCCACTGATAGGAGACGTGGAAGGTATTAAACTGACAAAAATAGTACTAAACACACCACTCCTATCTGGTGTCACATTAGCTTGACCGCGCAGTGCCCCAAATTTGCAGTAAGAGGACCGACCAAGCATCTTCTTCCATCTCCCTGTTACAGAAATCACTGCCATATCCATACAAATTGTACATAATGTCCAGGATAGTTTTCCAGGGACAAATGTTGTCGTCTGTTGAACGAGGTGACCTTGCTCGGGTCCCAGGTGTGCGGTTCCTAAAATGGCTGCCATATAAACGTCCACTGATAGGAGACGCGAAAGGTATTAAACTGATCAGAACAATACTAAACACACCACTCCTTTTTTTTGGTGAGGCTTTACAGGACAGAGTGCTTCTCCACGGGACATGTTAACTCACGGGCAGCTGGCTCATCAAGGAACCAGAGCAGCTTTCCGTGTACAGGTAAGACACGTGCAGCCGGTAAGGGTTCAGGCTCTTCTTCCTGGAGGATACGCTGCAAGCCTGTTGAACGAGGTGACCTTGCTGGGGTCCCAGGTGTACGGTTCCTAAAATGGCTGCCATATACACGTCCACTGATAGGAGACGCGGAAGGTATTAAACTGATCAGAACAATACTAAACACACCACTAATAAGGTTTCTCTCCTGTATGGCTCCTCAAATGATGCTTAAGATTAGAAGCGGCTGAAAAGCATTTCTCACACTCCGAACAAAAATATATTTTTTTAACATTCTCTCCACTTTGAACGAAATGACGTTTGGGAAGAGATTAACATAATTAAACACAGGCAGTAAAACTACAGCTTTTAGCCATACACTGTAACTTTAAAACTACCCATCTTCATAACAATTACATATTTGGAATCAGCACACTTAAAACATAAACATAACCAAAAATCAGCCAAATCCATCCAGGGGTTAAAAAGTTAGCTGGATTTCCCTTTATGACCGATAGATTTGGGCTGTGCGGTCGGTCTATTTCAGGCTGAAAAAACGACTAAGTCCCATCGCCGAATGGGACTTAGTCTCTGCAGCTGAAATAAGGCTGTAAAAAACGGCTGAAAAAATGACTATGTCCCATCGCCGAATGGGACTTAGTCTCTGCAGCTGAAATAAGGCTGTAAAAAACGGCTGAAAAAATGACTATGTCCCATCGCCGAATGGGACTTAGTCTCTGCAGCTGTAAAACCAGTAGGGGAGAAGGTAGAGCTCAGCGGTGTTCGCGGAAATGTGTAGCCGATTTTAGTTCCATGAATTTGGCTACACATACCGCTGACCTTGTCGAATGATCAAAGATGGCCGCCGCCACGTGTTCGGCAAACGAACAAAGACCTCCCAGCATTGTTAATTAAGCTGCGGTTAACCGCAGCTTCTGGGAGGTAAATTGCCTGCACACTTCCACTTCTGGGTGGTCTGTCTGTGTGGTACTTGGTTCAGTAAGCCCCATTTACTGAACCAAGTGGGAAATAGCCAGGCAGGCACAAAGGGTTTGCACCAGGTCTGGGGACACAGGGGACACCGTCTTAAAGGGGCAGTGTCCCCAACAAGTCTGGGGACACGGCCTTAAAGGGGCAGTGTCCCAATCTTCCTGATGTCCCAATAAAGGTGTTTAAAGGGCCAGCACCAGTCACATAAAGAGTCCATAAGCCCCAATATGCCCACCGACAGTCTTAAAGGGCCATACACACCAAATAAAAGTGCATACATTTTCACAATCTCCCAGGGGCCATAGTCATGCGGGAGGAGGCTGGCAAATAGGCTTCTCCACAACCCAGGGAAGCAGGGCAATTTGCCATTTAAAGGGCCAGTTACAAATAGCAGTTTGTAACAAGGTGTCAATCCATATCTGCCAAGTGACCCGATGTAGGGGGAACAGTCCCTATTCTGCTCTGTGTCAGTGTGTATCATGGTCTCTGAGGACAGGTGTCAATCCATATCTGCCAAGTGACCCTATGTAGGGGGACCAGTCCCTATTCTGCTCTGTGTCAGTGTGTATCAGGGAACCTTAGGACAGGTGTCAATCCATATCTGCCAAGTGACCCGATGTAGGGGGAACAGTCCCTATTCTGCTCTGTGTCAGTGTGTATCAGGGATCCTTAGGACAGGTGTCAATCCATATCTGCCAAGTGACCCTATGTAGGGGGACCAGTCTCTATTCTGCTCTGTGTCCGTGTGCATCAGGGGCTCTGAGGACAGGTGTCAATCCATATGTCAAGGTGTCAATATGTCATATGTCAGGTGTCAATCCATATTGATTGTGATTTAGGAATGTTAGGTGATTTCTGCCCTTTATGGATTAAAACCAGACTCTGTATCAACTGTGTAATTTTCCATGGGAGTTTTGCCATGGATCCCCCTCCGGCATGCCACAGTCCAGGTGTTAGTCCCTTGAAACAACTTTTCCATCACTATTGTGGCCAGAAAGAGTCCCTGTGTGTTTTAAAATTCGCCTGCCCATTGAAGTCAATGGCGGTTCGCCCGGTTCGCCGGTTCGCGAACATTTGCGGAAGTTCGCGTTCGCCGTTCGCGAACCGAAAATTTCGTGTTCGCGACATCACTAATAGACACCTGAACAACTACAGCTTAATGTAGTTGTTATGGTGAGTATAATCATTCCTTGCAGGGATTTTGATATAAACACTGTCTTTTCAGTGAAAATGCAGTTTTTACATTGCCCCCTAAGGACACTTTCAATGAGGTGACCACTGGAGGTGCTTCCTGGAGCAGTGCTGCATAGTAGGTAGCACTGCTGTTCAGCGACTTCATGCTGTGCATGTATTCGCTGAATTTTCCTCATAGAGATGCATTGATTCAATGCATCTCTGTGAGGAGGTGCTGATTGGCCAACACAGCTTTTGTCCCCGCCCTATCCTGCCTCCTTGCCGATTTCAGCCAATCCAATGCTTTCCCTAGGGGAAAGCATTGGATTGGCTAAAAAGCGTAAATTCTGATGATGTCACCAATGAGGCAGATCAGGGGCGCAGCCAGCACCCTATAGGAAAGCATTGAATTGGCTTAAAAGCCTAAATTCTGATGATGTCACCAATGAGGTGGATCAGGGGCGGGATCAGTGCCCTCGAACATGCACGGTACTGGAAATAAGGTGAGGTTTAACCCCTTCTAAAGGGGCTAAGGGGGGGCAAGCCACATGAATGGTGGTTTTAACACCATAGGGTCAGGAATACATGTTTGTGTTCCTGACCCTATAGTGTTCCTTTAATAAGAGTTTCACTCTTGAATAGTTCCTGTCACCATGTTAACTCAGGTCTCTTCTGAGATTAATTCATTGCATCAACAGAAACCGGTTTTCTTCCATAACACTTGTAGTACCTCCAACCCTCATACTAGCAATAACTGGGTTACTTTCTAAAGTGAGAACTGTAAGGAGTTCAAAGTGAATTTCAAATTTAGTGCCAGAGTAGCTGAATGGGAGGTATAGCAGATTTGGATATTTTTTTATTCTGTTCAGTTATTTTAGTCTTAAATGTGAAATTCAGTTTGAATTAACTTTGCATTCTGAATTAACTTTGCATTCTCAACAATTCTAACTATAGTGATTAACCCTGTAACCCCGTCCCTAAAACTAACCTTAATGATTACCGGAACACAAACTCTAGACAGAACGCTAGTCTTTATACTTTATGCTTCCCCACTTGTTTCACTGTGTCTAAATATGTATCCATACTGCAACTTTAACGGTATGTGAAGCAGCATGAGAGTAGCCACGGGCCCCAGGTTCCCCAAAGCTGTCACTAGACACAGAGCGGTTGGGCTGAAGAGAGACATGGCAGACGTAGAATGACAGTGTCCCTTCCATACTAGGGGAGGTTACCTGATGAAATGCTCAGACTCCCTAGGACTTAGACCTAATAGGGGATTAAGATCTACTGCATACGCCCCAGGCCACACAGCTCAACGCTGCTGGCCCCTTCCCCCCTGCAGACGTTGACCACAGCTCCAATGGGACCTCAGGGCGGACGCCATGTGGATTGACAAAGCATACATGGCATGGACGGACTACCAAGGGGACCCACGACCCTGCTGCCCCGGGACTCCTGACTGTCAGCAGCACCCACAGTAAGTGCCCCACCCAGGCAGAGATGATGATGTCAAGTACACACACCAAGAGCCCCCCTACACCCAGTTATTAGGAATCGTGTGGCTTAGCTGCCAGAAGTTATTATTTTTCTTGGTTTTGAGCATAGTTTAGCTCAAAAAGGTTCAGGAGACACAACTCTATACACATGGGCTGGACGTGTGCGGCTGCCACCCAGGTCATCTCACGAACCAGACTCACTAGGTCACCACAACCCCCATGTGACAAACCCCTTTGTATATTTGGTCGGAAATTGAGTGTAAGGCGGGCCCCTGGAGGGCCACGCACACACACTCACACAATGGACCTAGGGTCATCGTAGTTATTATAGTTAACCGCTAGTTTTGATTTCCCTCATCTATCACCCTCACCTCCACCATCTTCACCACCCCACCTCTCTTTTTACCGATCCCGCTTCTTTTTTCTTTCCCCTCAGTAACTCACCTTCTCCCACCTTGCCTCCCGCCATGGCTACAGGCTTTCAACCCGCCCCACTTCGATTCTGGTCCAATAATATTAGGGGACTCAATATCTCCTAAAAACGTAAACAGCTCTTCTCCTCCAGTCGGTACTATTCCAGTGCATAGCCACACAAGTTGATCTTTTAGGCAGATTGCTTTTTGAAAAAGGGAACAATGTAGCTTTGCTACAGTCTATTGCCCTGACCGGGGACATCACCTATTCCTAGCTAAAACCCTTACCCTCCTAGAGAAGTTCAGGGAGGGCCTTGTAGTGCTAGCTGGAGACCTCAACCTGCAGCTAGATCCCCGAGCCAAGATAACCCTCAATAGGATGGGTTTAGCTGATTGCTGGAGGGTGGCCTGCCCACAACCAATATAGCTGAATCGACTATGGCTTTCTGGCTCAGGAATTTCTCCCTCTCTTGATTTCTTCCGCTATAGGGACTCAATGTGAATCAGAGCACACTCCAGTTTCTATCCTCCTTAAGTCACCCTTGCTTAAACCGTGGGAATTTCAGTGGAAACTGAACAAAAACCTGCTGACAGACATGGAATGCACAACGCAAACAACACAAGTACTCTCCCAGTACTGTGCTACTAACACTACTCCTGACGTGTCCCCCCTGGTGACTTGGGAGGCCCATAAATGCATTATCCGAGGCCACTACATTAAATTTTTACAGCGTAAAAAAAGACTTTTCCAAGCTCATGACTGAGTTGACAGATAAGATTGCAACCCTAGAGACGCTACACAAACGAGCACAGATTGAAGGAGATCTACCTACAACTGACAGACTCATGCAGACAACTTAGGGACCTACTCTCTCAGAAACTACTCCACACGATGCGGAAATCTAATAGATACTTAGAATACTCCAACAAGTGTGGTAGACTCCTTGCACCCACCCTACAGCAGCGACAAAGACATATACACCAAATGAAGACCCAAGATGGCAGATTGACGAGGTTCCTCAACGGGATCCTTCAGAGGTTTCGGTCGTATTATACTGACCTACACAGCCTACCCCAAACAACAAAGGACCACGAGTCCCCGGTTCACCAGCACAAGATAACCGAGTACCTTTTATGTCACGTATCCCGTAAGCTTACCTCTGAAATGGCAGATGAACTGGAACAGCCCCTGACCATAGAGAAACTAGCTGGGTTTTCTAGGTTCATTACTTTATTCTGTTCCTGGAATTCCCAGTCTCCTAGATTCCTTGAAAATGTTTGTTTTTTGTTGCCACACCCATTCCTTTGCCATTTATCCAAGTTGTTTTAGTGTGTTCCCTGCTATCAGTGGTCTCCTTCCTCTGCTCGTTTCCTTGCAGGTAAGTAATGTATGTGTTTTATTATTGTACTTTTAGTCATGCATAACTAGGCAGTAAGGGCCCACCGTAGTTGGAGTACTTTGGTGCAGCGGTGGGCTGCGTACATCTTTTATGTATGTCTAATTCTCCTATGTTTATTGCATATATAGTACTTAGTTATTTCACCTCTTGTTTTGCCTTGTATATCTTGTCTTGTTTTATTTTGTCTTGTATTCCTAGTTCATGTACAGTCTTTTCCTGAACCTGTCCATGTCCTGTTCTTGTTTCCCTCTTGTCTTGTGTACATGTTCTGGGTTCTGCTTCAGTTCTGAGTTATTCTAGTCCTGCCTTGTTTCTAGTACTTGGCTCCATGA